GATAGATAGATAGATAGATAGATAGATAGATAGATATATATATATCTTTATTTATTTACACACATATGTATAAGTATGTGTGTGTATATATGTATATGTATTTATTTTCGTTTGGTTGTCGTATTGGAGTCCTTAGTCCACACTCCAGATTAGTGGGAGGCGGTAACGCACCCGAAAGCTGTTTGCCAACCGCCAAAAAAAAGAAAGAAGAAGAAGAAGCAGGCGGCTGAAAACGGTCCGATTTGAACGCAGTTTTTTGTCAACGCCCCTTTCTACGTCCGCCTGCTCTCGTCTGCTTTCCAGGCGAGGCGCAGTTCAACTCGAACGAGCCTATTGTTACAGATCAGACAGGAAAGAGTGTTTGCAAACTAACTCTTTGACCAGACTGCCTTCACACTGCATGCATCAGAGGAACCTTTGGACTGCAACGCCTGACTGACTGCTAAGACCTGAGGTGTAACTCGTTCAAATCAACGTGCAGTAAACTTAACTTTCACCGACTTGCATGCTAAAATGTAGCTAAACTGTTGACAGACAAATCTCTGACCTGGTTTCTGCTTGTTACTGTCCACCTCAACCGCCAGCCGAACTCAGCAAGTCCTCCGTGTACAGATTAGAGGAGCAAAGAAGCGCGAGAAGTGGGAAACATCGCGAGAGATCACGGGACCACAGATCCGTTTGCAGGACGTCAGCAGAACGGAGCTGTGTCTCGAGACGAGTAATGCAAATATATCAGTTTAGTATGGGAAATAAAGAGGGTTTTTAAATATATTGGGGGGGTACTTATACATGCTTTTAATCAATAATCGTTTTGGCAGACAAAAACAAAAAGTGTGTGAAGACAACAATAGGGGCCTTCATTGTTCAGCCTTCATTGTTATTTAATGAGGTTAATTTAACATATGACATTTAACATATGACAACAAATATAAACGTGAATACATAGCAGGTGGCTTTTTCTCATCAATAACAACATTTTGGTTACAAGTTCATGAAAATTCTCAACAAAGTTTCTGACATTTCAATCAGCAAAAAAGCATTCCAACAACAAAACTTAAAATGAACTATTTTTAAAAGGGTTAAGAATCCATGAAGTCTGGACTTGTAAATGTTAATACATTTTGGGTCTCTTTTGCTTTGCAACATTTTCCAGAGGGTCAGAGGTCAACATTCAAACATTTCATCATTAACGACTTATAATTGGTCTATACAAAATGAATATATGATTCAGTTACCATTTATAAAGCATAGGTTCCAACTAATACACCCGGTATTAAGGGTGAACTTACACAAAACCATTTTCAGACCGGTAGGTACAAATCAAGTCTTATTACACAAATTCAACTAGCCAAAAAGCAAATATGTAACTGTAACCAGCTGCTATTAAAAATGTTGATGTTATGAACATGGTGACGCATGATTTGAGAGACAGACTGTGACTCTCCTCACTCAGCAGATGGTCTCTACAGCAGCATTTGTTCTGTTGCATGGAGCTGCCCTGTGAACACTCATCCACACTATGCTGTCCATTTGTTGGCAGGATGACGACTGTACGTGAGACCAGCAGCCATCTTCAAGGCTGGTTACATTTTTTACTTCTTTGGTTGAGAAGTGGTGGATGAGGTCAGGGCCACACGAAGTGGCCATTTTTTGTTTGTGTCTTGACTGGGCTAGGAGGCCCCTGGGGCAAAACCGAACTGCCACTCAGGCATATTTTGTCTCGAACTTATGCAGATGATTATTTCTGAGTTATTCATTTTGTCCCCTCTAGATTAGTGTCGCTCCCTTTTCACATTTCAACATATCCCTTGAGGTCAAGAACACTGATGCAAAGCTTTTGACCAGGGGCTCTAAAATGTTTCGGATCTTGATTTCTTTCCATTGCCTCATCATCAAACTCAAAATAATATTATTTTGAACACGTCTAGAGCTCTGCATGTTGGCTGTTCCTCGCTCCACTAAAGGAGACTGTGCTGTTGAAGTTGTGGCTCATAAACTCTGTCAACACCTTTAGAAAAAAAACGCTCAAAACCCACCAGAGTTAGTTTGATTTGATATACTTATTATCTCTATTTCATTTATAACCATTGTTTTGTGTCTGTATGATGTCTTCCCTTTGTCGTGAAGCCCTTTGTGATGTTTAAGTGCTCTATAAATTAACTCTCTTACTTACACACCTTTACTGTGTGTAAGGGCCTATTAGATTAAATTAAATAACAGACACAGATCACACAAGTTTTGTGAAATAAACTGACAAACTTAAAGTAAAGCACCACTAATATGTGTTAAAAACAATTAAGGAACTCTCCTGATAATAAACTGAAACACAAAATCAATACAGTCAGACCCTGTGACTGCAGCTAATGGAAGAAAAACAAGATGCAAAAATGAATTTACACACTCAAACACCATACGACGTCTTTTATGGTAAGCTAGTTGTTGTGGTGCCATCACACTGCAGGGTTCCTCATTAGTGACAACAGAATATTGTCACTCCCCTTCATTTGTATGGCTGACATGTTTCGGACAGACACGACCGCAGGGAGCTTCTGGAGGAGAGGGATGACTTAAACCCGCCTCTCACATGTGGACAGACCTCCTGAGACACATCTCAGACGTCGACTTTGATGCATGGGTCTGTATGCTATGAGACCCCGTTATCATTTATCGCCAGGTTTTTTTTAAGAGCCATCTGATTTTAATTGTAAATGTATTGAGAGCAAGGCCTCTTTGCCCTAAACTCACCGCTGAGTTCACTTTAAATAGCATTTTCTCTGTTCCCCTCTGCATTTCTATAAGTTAACACTCTTGCGATATACATTTTTACAAGTACATACTCCATCAAGGCAGACGATGTTTGCAAGAGAAAGAGTCTGGGTATCTCTGCGACTGCCAGAGGCCTGTGAGGATTTACAGGTTTGGCAGAGTGTTGTGGTCTGGTGCCCTCTGCAGACCGAGATGAGGCACATCTTTTGCAGATTGACGTGCCCGTAAATCGTCAGATTATTCAGTCGTTGGAGGAAGTATTCAGACCTTAATTAAATGTACTAATACACACTGTAAAAAAGACTGTAATACATGTAAAAGTCCTGCCGTAAGTCTGATCAGGAAAAAATAGTTTAAGTTTTAAAAGTAAATGTAGTCTCTTCAGTCCCTGGGGTGCTGGGGCGCTTTCAGGTCATTTCAATCCCATAAATGACAATAAAAGACAGCGGTGTTCTGCGTTGTTCTGCTGGTTTTTCTGGTCTTTTATAAAATGTAAATGCTGGTTCTGCTGTCCCGAGCCTCAAGCTTTGTCAATCAATAAGCATGTCTGTTTCAAATTTGGTTTGTTTCAGTGACTTAATGAATCATGAGAACAATGACACCGTGACGAATCACAACCCTCACCCTTAATAACTATAGCATTTAAACGGAGGCACATGTTTTCAAAGGACAGGAAAATGTGATTAACGCTACGCTTCAATTCTAGCTTCATACAGTTAGAGTGTGGAAGCATATCAAGTAACTCCACTATGACTACCCCTTTGCATCAAATACACAGGCAAAGAAACAATAGAAAAATAGAAGTCAGTGAGTTTTGTCAGCGTAAACAGTCTAAATAAAACAGCGTTTCTTTGGTTTGATGAGACCTTCTCTGTAGAGATGTGTGTATTTGAGGGGAGGCATTCATTGTTTCGTGCTGCACCCCCAACATGCAGTTTACCGACCCCTCAACCTCACATAAACAATCTCTGCAGACAGTTTTATGAGTGTGTGTGTGTGTGTGTGTGTGTGTGTGTGTGTGTGTGTGTACATGCACTTGGGGGCTCTGATGGCTTTCCCGCTCTGCAGACCCTGTTTCCACTTTCTCTTGGAAAGTCCTTCCAGAGACCATGACCATTTTTAAGCTATGTTGATGACTTACAAAAAAATAAAAATGAACGCACAGTTTTGGTAACGTTCTCAACAGTAGCAGTTTTGGTCTTGAGTAAAGTATGTGCTTTTGGTAAGTGTGGACACAAGGCCACGAGTTAGACCCTTATGGACCTTATGGACCACATCTAAGAAGCTCTACACTATTAGTTGTTTAAAGAAATAGTTAGAGACATTTTTGGAAGACTGCTGTTTGTGGCCAGTGTGAACAAAGTGCTTTTGCTGCATTTTTGTTTTGTTTCAATTTCGTAGTAAATTAAAGCCATGATGATTTTTCGCTAAACCTAGCGTCTTTCGTGTAGTTCGGTATTCTGGGGGAAAATATGTTTCCTTTGAAATGTAATTGAGTGTACAGTTTACAGTTTTATGGGAACTTAATTTCATTTTGTAGTACAAAGTCTCCAAATGGCGGTCACTCAGACATCCTATCTATGTCCAACAAATGTGGTTGCCAAAGCAAGAGTGTTTGGGAGATAAACATTTGGTTATGTAAGCTCTGACCAAATTTTCCAGACTAGAGCTGAAATATTTAGTCAACTAATCGATTTGTCAATTGTTGAAAAATGTACGTATCTGCACCAATATTGACAATTGGTTAAAGATCAATTGTAAGCGAATTAACCGGGTCCAGCATCTCAAATTAAAATAATTGCAGGTTTATTTTTCCATGGTAATAAACTGAATGTCTTTGGGTTTTGAACTGTGCAATCTGAACACATCATCTTGGGCTCTAGGGTAAATGTGACGGGCTTTTAAACATTCTTAAAAATATTTTCTGACATTATATTGATACTTGTTAATAATTCTTAGCTGCAACCGTAAAGCTTAAAATGTCCTAAAATGCCCCGCCTGAATTCAGGCTGTTGAATCCAACCTTGCTGGTGTGGAAGATGTCATGCAATTCATGTGAAGTGTCATGCAAATCACTTTTCCACGGGTCCACATGACAGGCCAGTCGTCTCCAAGTCGCTCTTTGTCATGCAGTCTCCTATAAAAAGCATTACTGGAGAAACATCCACACCTCTCCTGTGAGAACTCTGGAAGACGAAACAAACTGAACCATGGCTGTGAGGACTTTGGTTGTAGCCTGCGCTCTCTTTTTAGGAATGTGCATTGTCACAAATGGCGTACCCACTGATACAACACACGCCTTCTGCAAGATTGTCTGGTAAGACGTTCTCTATTTGTGATCAAGAGTTAGTTAGATGTGTTTCTCACAGCTGATGGTTCACGCAGTGTGACCATGGGAATGGGAGGATGTACGGTAACATATAACGTAAGACATAATGAAAAAAACAGCCAAATAAATATATATGAATACAAATAAATAGATAGATAGACAGATAAATGTTTGACTCTTTCTGTTCCCAGGTTGTTTGGAGTGCCGTGTGATCAAGTCAGCATGGCCATCGTGACTCAGATGAAAGCGATGGGCTCATACAAGGTGAGAAACTTGAAGAGACATTTTGTTTTTAATGGATTTCATTTGGTGATTATGTCTATATTCATTACTAATTTGCAAAATGCTCTTTTTGTGGTTCTAATCCAGCTTGGCCCAGTGACTGCAGCCCTAATTCAGGCCAACCACACCTCTGCAGTCGGCCAGATCGAGAGTGTTAACTTCACCATAATCTCCACAGCTATGAGCATGGGCTGCCATGTAGAGGTGAGACAGACGCCTTTGTATCCAATAGGCAACCAATACTAAACCTTCTAAACTATCAGCAAAGAGTATATATATTTTAAAAG